ACATTTGCTCAGTTGTGTGTTTTTCTATCACATTAGTTATCTTTTCTTGCGTCCCTTTGTCCCTCCAGACCTGCCACAGCATTATGTCTGTAAGGAGGAGAAGGTTGACCAACAGCTCTGTAGCCACAAGACGAATTCCAGTCTGGACCAGGAGGACCCAGAGCCTCCACAGGTTAAAGAGGAACAAGAGGAACTCTGCATCAGTATGAACCAGGAGGACTCAGAGTCATCTCAGATTAAAGAGGAACAGGATTATCCAGAGCCTCCACAGATGAAAGAGGAACAGGAAGAACTTTTTGCTGGTTTAGATCAGGAAGATCCAGAGCCTCCACAGATTAAAGAGGAACAGGAGGAACTCTGCACCAGTCAGGAGGGAGAGCTGCTCATAGTAAAGCTGGAGACTGATACCTTCATGGTGACTTCTACGAATGAGAAAAGTGACCAAAGTAAACCAGAACCGAACAGTGACCAGCTCCTTTCTCACGACTGCCTTTCAGCTGAGAGCCCAGATCAGGACAGAAACAAGGATGTGGATTCAGGATTAACTGGAAATGCAAAGCAGATGCCAACAAAGAAACATCACAGGAACAATGTAGTCAACTCTCAGTTGTCAGAGAATCACAGTAATACTGATACGGGGGGAAAATCTATAAAATGTGCTGTTTGCGATAAAGCTTTTAAAGATGAGTATCAAATGCAGAGACATCAGAGAATCCACACAGGTGAGAAGGTGTATGTTTGCAAAATTTGTGGGAAAAGATTCTACAAGGTATCATTGCTGATGTATCATCAAAGAGTCCACACAGGTGACAAGCCATATTCTTGCAAAACCTGTGAGAAAAGTTTCAGTTTTAGCTCTTACTTGAAACGCCATATGAAGACCCACACAGGTGAGAAACCGTATGTATGTCACACCTGTGAGAAAAGATTTAGCAACTCATCAGGACTAAAAAAGCATGTTATAATTCACACAGGTGAGAAGCCATATTCTTGCAAAACATGTGGGAAAAGTTTCATTAGTAGCTCTTACCTTAAAATTCATATGAAAAGTCATACAGGTGAGAATATGTACCCTTGCAAAACGTGTGGGAAAGTCTTCAGTTGTAGCTATCATCTTAAAATCCACTTTAGACTTCACACTGGTGAGAAACCGTATTCCTGCAAAACATGTGGGAAAAGTTTCAGATTAAGTGATAAATTGTTGCTCCACATGAGAACCCACACAGGGGAGAGGCCTTACCCCTGCAACACTTGTGGGAAATTGTTTAAAGATGCATCAACACTAAAAGTACACGTAAGATCTCACACAGGTGAAAAACCTTATGCGTGCAGCATCTGTGAAAAACATTTTAAATCTGCATCACCGCTGATACAACACCTGAGAACTCACACAGGCGAAAGGCCATATTTTTGTGAAACGTGTGGGAAAAGCTTCGTTCAACGTGGCCATATGTTGCGCCACATGACAACTCACACAGGTGTCAAGACGTAGTCCTGAAAAATTAATCTAGGAACGAAGCTTGAAGAAAACATGTCAGAAGTCATATTGGTTAACCACAACTCAAATTTTTTAATTTAATTTTAAATTAAAAAAATAAAAGTGTCTTTGTGTTTTGCTGTTCACAGCAGTGTCTTCCAGCCCTGTGTTTACTTGTATTACAATCAAGTGCCTCCTGTACATCAAAGGGCATAAAGAAATGTATGTTTTCCTAAAAACTTATTAAAAGCTTACTACTGCTATCAGTTGAGAAATGATTGCAACAATGGGGGAACCAGATTGTGTAAATTGTAATGTTCACTACTTAAATAGGTTTAAGTGTTTTATTTTGTTTGTTTGTTTGTTTGTTTGTTTGCGGTTGTTTCCATTGACTTCAATTGTCCTGTAATTTCTCAAGTAATTTATGCTTCTACATTCAATGGTGCTACTTTGTGAAGTTTTTGTGTTTCACAAAATTGCTTCACTTATTTATGTGTCGTGTAATTAACTCACAGAAACCTCTGGTGAAGTCATACTATTTATTACAGAAACACTGTACATTTTTATCAGTTATTTTCCTCAGTGACTGATGATTGACCAGTGCAGAAAATGTCAAAAAAAATTATGTGAAAGCATTTAATTATTAAAGTTTTCCTCTTCTTTTTTTTTGTTGTTGACCAAAACCACAAAGTGTAGAGTTTTTTGTAATGTAAAACTGTGATACTATCAAAGATTCATGTATTTTTTAAAATGAATTTTTTGTTAATGGTTCCAGAGAATATTTGCCATTTTTTGGTTTTAAAAAAATGGCTCTCTTATGGGATCAATTATCAGAACTGTTGCCAGGAAACCTAATGTCACTAAAAATGATTAAAAGACTAAATTTTCAGCTCTACTCATTGGTTACTGGCTGTCTGTGGAATTAATGAAACTGGCATGTTTTCAATTTGGCCATGGTGTCACTAGATACACTATATAACAGAGGTGTGTGTGCTGTTTCAGTAAAATGTCAAACAATTCTACATTGTATCATCTTACAATTATTAAAGTCAAACAATAGGGTATTTGATCTTTTGCCAAATTAAAAATCAATAGTCTACATTGACAGTTGTAGATAGACTATATTAAAAATGCAGCTCCCAAAGGAGGAAGTCAACGCAACAAAAGTCAGAACACCTTTTATTACTGAAATTCAAATATTTTATTTTTGCAGTACTTTGCATGTCCACTTTTATTTTTGATGGTGGACTCAATCATCCTCATCCTGTGTCCACAATTTTGTGAAAAAATTCTTTATAGAGAACCTTTTTTTGTCTGGTCGTGGTTGGAGGGGTTGTGTTGCTCCACCTTTCTCTTTAAAATACCCTTAAGGTGTTAGATTGGATTTCAAGTCAGGTGACATACTGTTCCAGGTCATAGTTTTTACTTTGCTCTTCTTTCGTATGATTTTTGGCAGTGTGCTTTGGGTGGTTATCATGCCTGAATATTCTTCTTCTGCAGATTGTGAGTCATTTTTTCAGCCAGTATTTTGGTATATCCACAGGCATCCATATCACAGACAATGACAAAAGTTACTGGACACAACTCCAGTTCGATGAGCATTTACAAAATAGAACACTGGAGGTTTGTTATGTCAGTCTATATGGTGACTTTTACATTGTCGATTGCTCGAGATGAGAACATTGCTACTGGACAAGGATGTCAAGAGGGCAGAAATGGTCCTGTTTGATAAATCAGAAAATATTTGGCGCGACCACCAAGGAAGTTTTTCAGGGCCGCTCAGATGTCTGCACGCTTCCCTCCCCTGGAAACAACCCCGAAGGAGGTTCAACAGGGATGGTTCTTGCAGTTAGAACAGGCACAAAGGCTCAGAATGCCCTAAAAGGACCCACAAGTTCCTGCAGTGGTAAATGGCCTAATGTCATCACACCAACACAATTTGCACTCATGCATCCCTGTATCATCACACTCCCTCCTCCGTGCTTCACTGTCAGGATTATGCATTTATTGTTGCAGTCCTGGTCAGGTTCACACCAAACATGCTGTATTCCATCTGAGCCCAACAACTTTATATTGGTCTCATCTGACCAAAGACTGTGCTCACAACATTCATCAAGCTGTTTTTCATTTTCTTTAGAAAAAAAAAATCATCTTGCAGTTAGAAAGTTGAAAATCTAATGCCCCACACAGTTGTGCCTCCCTAAAAGGGCATCAGCTAAAATCTAAGGGGCCAAAACAGTGCAGGATTTATAAAAAAAATCTATTTTCTTCAAAAATGGTACTTTTAATTTGTAGTATGCTCTAAGTATATGTCTTATTTTGGACCTTTGAAATTCATTCAGTTTGCTACATTTGTCTAAATGAATGGCATTTTTGTCAGTCTCAGCAAATCCTGTGGAGACCAAAAGTACTGTCAAGTAAGTAAGTAAGTACACCTAAGTACTGTGCTCATTAGTATTACAAGCATTTCCATTTTATGCTACTTTATACGTCTACTCTACGGTTTTTAAGACAAATATCCTACTTTTCACTCAACTATATTTATTGCACAATTTCAGTTACTTTGCATATTTAAATATACACCCAATATACAATCAGCAAATAAATTATGATGCATTATTGTTTTATTATTTTAATATGTAAGTTTTTATTCATTAAGGATCAACTTTCCTAATCCCCACGCAGGAAGGTTTTTACAAACTAGCAGTAGATATTAAAATCAGATTCACCTTCACCAGCTGCATCATAAAAGTGATGAACACTGTTAGGATGACCGTTTTGCGGCTGGATGAAGCAGGAGACTTGAGGCCAGATAAGGTGCAAACCAACTAGGTGTTTATTCACCAACAGTCATATTACAAAAATGAGACAAAAAACAAAAACACGAAGCAAGGCGATTAGTTGGTGGCATAAGTGGTGACGCTCTTTTCCTCTTCTTGCTCTCACTCAACTGCCAGCTTTTTATAGGCAACCCCCTAATCAGCCCCTCAAACCTACCAACATACAGGTTGACCTAAACTAATCACGCACAAGAAATACACAGAAACACAACACTTCACTACTTTAACTTTAATAACAAACATTAAAACTAAATCTTTATTTCATAAAAACAACTTCCAACATCTCCATCAAACAATTGCAATTATTTTAATCACCTAGGGAAATTATTATCCCCCCTCTCTTCAACTAGACTTGGTTTGCCCCGGAACCTTTAAAAATTGTGTTCCAGGCCATGGGGACTCTTTTGGCTGGAACACCTGAGGAGACAGAAGAGGTGAGTCGTCACACGCTTTCAATCTACACAACCACACTTAAAACAATGCCACATACCCGCTTCTATGGTCATTCAGCTACCAATTAAGTCCAATTACTTAATCCTGTTCCTGAAACTGCTTCCTTTCTCTTACAGGCCTCACTACTGTTGTCACTCAGCGCCGTGAGGAGAAGCCATCGAACAGCACATGCTACACTCATCAAACTCATTAAACTCATCCCACCCTCATTGTCTGGTGTCTTATATTTATCCCAGAATGTCACTCTTGTAGGTAATGAAGCTCAACTTCATTACAAACACATTAATGCATCAGGAGTTATAATTCAGTAGTATGGGGTGCACAGTTCTGAAACAGGCCATTCTAGATTATTAGTACTTTTGCTACTCTAAGCATACGTATACTTTTGAAGAATTCATATGCAGGAGTTTGACTTGTTAGAGTATTTCTACAGAGCAGCTTTGTTGATTTCCCCTACATACAGGATCTATGTATTGGATATGACAGTACTCTCTGAACAACAGCCTACCTGAGTACATTTGCTCAAGTACTCTAAGTACATACTTGTCTTCAAATTGGTCAGATTACATTTAGATTAAACACACATTAAATACTTAACGCTTTAATTAAGAAACATACAGTTTAAGATTTTTGTACTTTGTGAGTTCACGTTATTCATTAGATTAAACTCTGACTGTTGTCATTTGTAATAAGCTTATAAACTATAAAGTCCAGTCAAACTATCTGTGACTGTGTGAATTATGCAAGAACTGCTGCTGTCAAAAAGTTAACTCCGTGTTTCTGCCGGAACTTCACAGTGTGACACCTGGCGGAAGTCAGCTTTACTAATGTGTGGAAGTTTGTAAAGGCGGTTTTGCTGCCGGGTCACAGATCAATAACCCTGCAGCTGAAGTAAAGATGAGTTCAGTTCGGAATCTGAGAGAGTTGATCAACGAGCGACTAACTGCTGCTGCTGAAGAAATATTCGCAGAGTTTGAAAAAACCATCGTTCAGTACGAGGAAGAGATCGATCGTCAGCGCGGACTGCTGGACAACATCTGGAAACCACGGATAACGTTACACACCACAGGTATGTAGAAATGTGACTGTCTGAATGTGGAAAATACAGGATGAAGTGAGTGAACAAGAGGATCACTGCGGACTTTATAGACATGACGTGTAAGTGGGAGCAAGCAAAAAGCTGACAAACTTAAAGGTGACGAACTAACGGGGCTGCCGAGCCACGCTAACGCAACGTGAACCTCTTTGTTTTTGGGAGGGTTGTTGGCGGCTTAAGGTGCATTACCGCCCCCCTTTGGATTGGAAAAGAAAAGTGGGATTTTCAAAAAAACGAAAAAAAATCTCTATCAGGTGTGTTTGTGAAATAATTGTGATCAGTTGGGCATATGTTCACCATAATGCTGCTCCAATGAGACTCTACTGTTAGGTTAAGCTTTGCTGCCTTACTGCTTATAGATACTAAGTTCCACTAACACATGCTGAACCGATGCTGATTGCACAAAATCCAGTTGGATCTTATTATTCAGATTGTTTTTGTGTCCTGTATGCCCATCTGTTTCCACCCACCCTCCTTCCAACACCCACATGCTTTTCAATATTATATAGATGCCGTCCTGTGTCATTTATGTCCCAATTCTCCAGCTGTGTTTTTTTTTTTAAATTTAGGCCATTTATAATGTGTTGAACTCTGCTATGCTTAGTAAGATCTGTAAGTCAACTGGCTACGACTTCAGTGGTTGTTTACCTTATATATGCCTCCTTCCATGTGAACGCACAAAGAGTCTGAAGCAGAAAGAAGTTGATAACTACTTTGTGATACCTGATATCTATTAATGGATGGATAGTTTTTGTCAAGCTGACCACACAAAGAAAGCCTGTGTAGGGAAAACTTGCTTCGTAGTACAGCCCTCAGGTCCAATAAGTGATCCAATAAGCTTCAGTAAAAAACAACTGAACTTCACATATTGGCCTTGAAGACATTTCATCTATTGAGGAAGCCTCTTGGGTGACTATTGAAATGTCTCTAAGAACTAAAAGAGAAGCTCTGTTGCTTCTTACTGAAATTCATAGTTATTTACTTAGTTGTGTTTTTTTTGTCGACTGGGCAACTTCCTGTGCAAGTCCTCAGGGCACATCCAATTTGTAGGGGAGACCCCCGGGTAAAACTAGAACTTGCTGGAGGGATTACATATCTTATCTGCTCTGCGAACACCTCAGGATCCCCCAGGAGGGCCTCAAAACTTTTGGTAGGGAGAGGAATGGCTGTAATGCCTGCTGCCATCAGCTTCATAGTCTGGATAAGAGACAGGGGATGGATGGATGGATGGATGGATGGGTGTGTAACATTTTTCATTTGGTCCTTTCTTGCTCCAGATTTCCCACAGCAAAGTGTCTGTAAGGAGGAGGAAGTTCTCACTGACCAGCAGCTCAGTAACCAGGAGAGGAACTCCAGTCTGGACCAGGAGGACCCAGAGCCTCTACAGATTAAAGTGGGACAGCAGGAACTCTGCACCACTTTGAACCAGAATGACTCAGAGCCTGCACAAATTAAACAGGGACAGGAGGGACCCAGCACCAGTCTGGACCAAGAGGACCCAGAGCCTCCACAGGTTAAAGAGGTACAGGGGGAACTCTGCACCACTCGGGAGGGAGAGCAGCTTGAACTGAAGCAGGATACTGACACCTTTGCTCTGTTTCAGTGCAAGTCCATATGTGAAGAAATATCCAGAGAAGTCCTGCAGTCTGTGGATGCTGATGAAACATTCACAGAATCTCAAAAAACAATCGTCCAGTGCGAGGAAAACAACGATCGTCAGCACAGACTGCTGGATATCACTTTGATACCTGAATTAAAGTTACACAGAATAGGTATGTAAAACTAGAATGGTCTTAATGAACTACCTAATGGATATGACTGATTTGGAATCCTAAGCAGTACTCTACATGACATTTATTTTTATGGGTAACTGCAATGGATGCCACTAATGTATCTCTTTTCTAAACTTTAAACATACAGTGTGCATAATTCAAGGCAGAAACTGAGTTAAACTCTTTGACTACAGCAGTGTTTTCCTGAGGCTGACTAGTTTAGAATGCAAGTGTGACGGTGACAGGACTTCTCTCTCTCTGTCTCTCTCTCTCTTTTTTGTACAATTTCTGATTTTTTTTTTCACCTGTTGTCTTTCATGAAAACTGAACCGTTTGTCAATAAGTGCTATTTTCCCCCTGTGCTTGTTGGAAGGTTTAACTATAATATCATCAACAGGAGAGCTGCTAGTACTCTGGCCAGCACTGGCTTCACTTCACTGCCATCAGCCATTCAAGATTTTGGTTTCAAAAATGCAGATATTTTGGCCAGACGTTATTTAGAGTAAGCTTATGAGCAGTGTTATCTTCACGTCACCTGTCTTCTCTGCTCACTTTTCACAGATGCACGTTTTCTGAAATGTGTTGCTGGCATCAAGTTCCAAATGATGAGATGATCAGCTGATTGTTTTACTGGAGAAGACGTCTCAAACAGTCGTTGCTGAGTGCAGACAGTAGCGTTGTGTTAAAGCAGCTTTTCTATCAAACTGCAGAGACGCTGTAAGGGAGCGACATCTGATTTGACCTGCTGTTTGTCATTTGAACTGACAACAGTGATGATCAGCATCTCTGAATGTTTTTACACTGAGCTTTAATACAAAAGAGTGTTGTACATCAACAGTTACTTGCACAGGTGCACACAGAAAAGCTGTAATTTGGACAGCCTGCTAATGGCTTCAACTTGTATGTATTTCCTTAACTGCACATAACTGTGACTGACCTTCTTCTTTTGTCCTTTTGTCTCTACAGACTTCCCACAGCAACATGCCTGTAATCAGGAGGAGTTTTTTGCTGACCAGCAACCCTGTAACCAGGAGAGGAACTCCATTCTGAACCAGGAGGACCCAGTGCCTCCACAGATTAAGGAGCCACAGGAGGAACCCTGCAGCAGTCTGAACCAAGAGGGCCCAGAGCTCCCACAGGTTAAACAGGGACAGAAAGCATCCTGCACCTTTTTGCTGTTACAGTGCAAGTCCACATGTGACGAAATAGCCGAGGAAATGTTAGCATCTGCTGCTGCTGAGGAAACATTCACAGAGTCTAAAAAAACCATTGTCCAGTGCAAAGAAGACAGTGATCATCAGCACAGACTGCTGGATATCCTCTGGAAACCTAAAATAACGTTACACAGAATAGGTATGTAAAACTATCCATCCATCCATCCATTATCTATACACCGCTTAATCGTCACTGAGTCGGGGGGGGATTTTGAATTGATAACACAAAAGTTACTAGCACAGGTGCACATCAAAAAAAATGTGTTTCCTCAATTGAACAGAGCTGTGACTGACCTTTTTCTTGCGTCTATTTGTCTCTACAGACTTCCCACATCAACGTGTGTGTAACAAGTGGGACGTTTCTGCTGACAAGCAGCTCTGTAACCAGGACAGCAACTCAAGTCTGAACCAGGAGGACCCAGAGCCTCCACAGATTAAAGAGGGACAGGAGGAACTCTGCTCCAGTCAGGAGGGAGAGCAGTTTGTACTGAGGCTGGAGGCTTCCGGGGAAAGTGACAACAGTGAAACAGAACCAGACAGTGACCAGTTCAGAGAGCCAGAGAGCTCAGTAGCAGAGAGCCGAGCACAACGGAGAAAGAGGCACATAGACTTAGAATCAACTAGAAGTGCAGAGCTGAAGCCAAAGAAGAGACATCTCAGAGGAAGAAGTCAAAACAACATGGAAGAAAACTCTCACATGTCAGCGAGTCACAGTGATACTGACACAGAGACAGGGAGAAAGCCTGTCAAGTGTGATGTTTGTGGAAAGGCGTTTAAGTACAGGTCAAAAATGAGGTATCATCGCAGAAGCCACACAGGTGAGAAGCCATATGCTTGCAGTACTTGTGGGAAAAAATTCACTCGAATGTCTTCAATTAAATACCACAAAAGAATACACACAGGTGAGAAGCCATATGCTTGTGAAATATGTGACAAACGGTTTCGAGGTACTGTTGACTTGATAACCCACATGAGAACTCACACAGGTGAAAAGCTGCATTCTTGCAAAACATGCGGGAAAACTTTTACTCAACGTGGTCATTTGTTGTGCCACATAAGAATTCACACAGGTGAGAAGCCATATTCTTGTGAGACGTGTGGGAAAAAATTCATTCAGTGCAATCATTTGTTGCGCCACATGAGAACCCACACAGGCGAGAAGCCTTTTTCTTGTAAGACATGTGGCAAAAGCTTCAATCAGACTGAAATTTTGAATGTCCACATGAAAACTCACACATACCAGAAACCTTGTATCTGCAGCATATGTGGAAAAGAATTTAAAGCTACATCAGCACTGATGCGACACATGAGAACTCACGCAGGGGAGAGCCCATATTTGTAACGTGGGGAAAATTATACTCAACATGAAAATTTATTGCACCACATGAAAGTTTAAAACTGTAGTCCAGAAACATCAACGTTGACCAACCTTGAAAAACATGTAACAAATCATTCAGATCAATAATAGTCCTTTCAAATTTACAGTACCTTTAGACTGTGCTTTAACGCTGACTCTGAGTTTATTGCATATTACAGAAAGATGGGTCTAATAAGAACTGCCCAGTGAATATGTGGTGACTCTTAGAGAAGCACAATGAATTCGCAAACAAAGACAATTGGAGACATCTCACTGTTAAGAGAAAAAAACTCAGAATTAAATGTTGTGTTGTTTTTAAAATCTATTATATTTGAAACGAATGGGCACTGGTGCGCCCTGATTTAACAAATGAACATGAGTTTAACCATCAAGTACTTTGAAAAATGTCATGTTAAGTTCATATGTGTGTAAATGAGTTGCAGTCCTGGTCATCTTGTCAAAATGTGATGTTTGTCTGTGGTGGTGCTTTGTAAACCTTTGTATGAAGACATACAAAAAAATAAAACCAATTTCCTGTGCAGTAACATCTGGAAGAAACAGATCTGACTGGACTAACAAGCTGTGTTTGAGGAGAACATGACACCTTTCTTAAAAGAATCATAAACACTTGATTGTGTTTCATATTAGATACTGAAGTCTTTGCTTATATAGCTGCAACTGTATGAAAAGCTGCAGCTGTATAAGCAGACTTCAATTTGCCTCCTGCTGGATTTGTTGCTGTGGTTTAGCTGCCAGCTGCATTAATTCTTCTCAGGATAATGTAAGGTTGACAGGGTTTATGAGAAATATAGTTGAAATGATTATATTCATAGTTATACTTTACTGAATGCATAATGATGTGACAAATGTGTGCAAGGTTGTGATAATCAAAGCAGTTTGTTTGCAGTAATATTTTGAAGGAGTGTATTAGCAGATCAATCACATGATACCATCATGAAAAAACAGGAAAATTTTTAATGAGTACAAAACAACACACCATCTCACTTTTCTCTACAGGTTGATTTTTGTTGGAAAACCCACACAATTATCTGCCTGGAAAGTTAGAAGCACACTAGAAACACTGGCTACTTTGCAAAGTGGAACACAGAGATAGTAATAATAGTACATTTTATTTGTAATGCACTTTTCACTTCAATGAAATCTCAAAGTGAAGACGTGCGTTGCAGTAGTCCAGCCTGGAGGAGGCAAAGGCGCCGACGAGTTTCTCTGCAACAGGAAGGGTGAGGGTGGGACAGAGTTTGGCAATAGTTTTGAAAAACGAAGACTTGCACAGATGTTTGATGTGGTTGTTGAATGTCAGGTGAGGGTCCAGTCACACAGCAAGGTTGGTAAGTGCCAGTGAGAGGGGAATGTCTTGTCCAGAAGAGGTGATGGTGGTTATGGAGGATGA